GCTGTCGTCTCATGCAGATCAGCTACGGGCTGCCACTTTGTGAGGATGGTGCGGGGCGTCCGAAGTGTCCCAAATTTTGGATTTTGGTAGTGCCACTGTTCTTCATCCCCATCAGACTTCGTCGGGTGGTAGCGAGCGGCTTCGTCGTGTCACGTCAGCTTGCTCGTGCCGGCATGACCATCGCTCACCACCAGAACCGTGTGCATATGCAGCTATTGGGATCGAGGCAAGTGGAGGAGACAACATAAGATGACTTCGATTATTGGATGGTACTTCTCGTGTACCCAGTCTCGAGTTCCGGGGTGATAACCCTAGGTCTGACCTTGATTGGTTATACCTAGCAATGGCGTCGTTTTTTGCGTCGTTACCCTGGTGAAGGCATTGCTCGGAGTTTTGCTCGGATTTGATCTTCAGGGTGAAAACCCATGTTCTGACCTTTGGTGGTTGGACCGGTGACGGCGGCGTTTGCGCATCGCTCCCTTTCTGGAGGCGTCGCTTTTGAAGAAACTTTCTCGTAGTTCTTGTGTTGTCAAGAATTGGTTGGCGCCCGATGGTCACTGCTGTGTTTCGTCGATCGTTGTGTTTTTTGCTTTAGGGTTTTCTTTTTCTCCATCCGTTTAGGCATAGCTTTGGTCTTGTAAGACTTTGCTTTTTGCCGGCGTGATTGTTTGTGTCTGTGTGTGTGTGTGTTGCATTGGCTGTGTGCATCTTGGTTATGCAGAGGTCGGGTGTGTATTTATTATGATTGTATCGCTTGATGCTACACTATGAGTCAATAAAGAGCACTCTTTATTGAAAAAACTCGTAAGATGTGATCTCGGAAATAAAAAATGTATTATTGTTGTTGCATCCAGTTGGATTGCTTCAAAGAAGCTGATCCCAGACGATCTAGTTGTATGGGAATCTTGGCTCTCTACTTAACATATACTAATTGTTGAGATTTGCACCAAAAGCATGTGCTAGCAACATACACACACATACACCCACATAAAGAGAAAGGTATGAGATAGCCTATGGACATATTGTTGTTTTGCTATGAGTAATATTCAAAGCAGAGAAAAGTTAGTGTACACTGATTGAAGCAACAACTAGCAAACAAAGCCCAAGTCTGGGACAAACCAAAGGAACACTATTGCTTCAGTAATTGAACGCAGGTAAATGACAGATAGTTAACCATGTTACACATGCTCGAGCAAAACTACCGAGGACACCTCGCAGACTCTAGGAACTCTTCTTCCATGCTATACTGCCTCGTCGACCCTTCGTTGCTGCTTCTTCCGTCATTAGTTGGTAAGGACATTTTTATAGTTCTTTTCTTCTCGGATATATCAACCACCGCGCCATCCATGACATATTGCTTGGGTGAATGGAAGTTTTCCAGTGTCAACTCCACTTGACGCATGGTTGGACGATCCTCTCCCCTTAGTTTTACGCATGCCACGGCAAGTATAGCTACCTCATTAACATCCTTTCCTCCTTCTTCCATAACTTGTGGATCTAGTATCTCCAACAGATTGCCTTTTGCAAACAAGGAAACAAAGTGTACAACAAGGCCGTCTCCTTCTAAAGACACATATGAAAATGGCTTCTTTCTTGTCAACAACTCTATTAGCATGACTCCAAAGCTATAAACATCACTTTTCTCGGTAAGCCGTCCGGTGTAGAAGTACATAGGATCTAAATATCCAACTGTACCTTGCACCATTGTTGTTAAACCCGATTTCTCTACAGAAATATACCTTGAAGCTCCAAAATCTGCTACCTTTGATGTTAGAGTATCATCCAATAGTATATTAACAGATTTGATGTCTCAACTGCTATCCGCAGCCTATGGATGATAGGTACCGAAGCTGTTGAGTGAAGATATGCAAGAGATCTGGCTGTTTCAACTGCTATCCGCAGCCTATTGTCCCATGACAATGATCTTGGTCCTTCAACATGAAGATGGTCATAAAGGGTTCTGTTGGATATGAACTCATATATCAACATTGGCACTTCAGTTTCAAGACAACAACCATAGAGTTTTACGACATTTCGGTGATTGATCTGTGACAGTATAGCAACCTCATTAATGAACTCATCAATCTCCTTTTGAACTACCTTCTTTGGTTTCTTGATGGCGACAACATGGAGGTCTGATAAAATCCCCTTATAGACAGTACCATGCCCTCCACCACCAAGCTCACGAGATTTATCAAAATTATTTGTTGCCTTCTCTAACTCTTCCAAGGTTATGATCATTTTTTCTGCAATATCAGTTCTCTGAGACACCAATTGTTGCAGTAGTTGCCCACGATTCTGCTCAAAGAACTTGCGTTTCAACATCTGCGCCCTTCGACATTTCAATTGGGAGAAAATGAATAATCCAGCGAAAACCATAAGTATGAGAGCCGTCCCACTGGCAACTCCTACAATGACACTTGTACCTGAAAATATACATATGTTATTGATATTACCATGGCAGAATAATGCCTTGGATATACACCCCACATGCTAATAAATGAAAGAAAATATAACTTTTTTGAAGCATTTTAGTGACGAGAATGCAAATACACCATACTGGTGTGAGATACTCCCTCCGTCCAGAATTACTTGTCGTAGAAATGGATAAAAATCGATGTATGTATTCATTTTCGCGACAAGTAATTCTTGACAGAGGGAGTAGTATCTTTTCGGAATTACCATTATTGAAATGCTAGCTGTTGTTGTCTTTATTTGAAAACGCAAAACTAAGGAAATCCTCCCGAAGTTGCAGAGAGTTGCTCACCTTTAAAGGACTTGTGGCCACCTGCAGAGTGTGCAAGCCAAAGGAAACAAAAATAAATTCAGTACAGTAATGAGTACATGCATAGTACCAGTATGCATATGGACAAAGTAACAATATGCTAAATGTTAACCTGTGCATCCATCGACCATGTACGGGTTACCGCTGTAGCCATCGCTACACTGGCATGAGTAGCCTCTTATCCCTAGATTGCAGTAACTGTTCTTGCTCTTGCAAATGTTGCCTGCCACTTCCATAGGATAGGACAACTCGTATAATTTGATCTCTTCAAGTTTTCTGCTTTGGGCAATGCCGAATCCAAGATCTCCCACTGTAGAACAATAGGAATCACCTTCGTTGCCGAGTCACTGGAGAGCATTGTGAGATTGAACCATCCCTCCTCCGCTATCAGCGCATAGGAGGACATGGTTTTTAAGTCCAATGTGTTGCTCTCGTCAAGCCACTCGAGCCACAGCATTTTGGGCATGCCGTGCGACGACATGGAGATACGCGACTGGCAGCAACCCATGCCATAGCAGTACTTGTTTTGTCCTCCAGTGCTAACTTTAGTGGTGCCGCCTGTATTGTTGAAGGAGCAAAATGAGGAGCACCCGCTAATGATGCCGGGTTTGGCATCGTCTCCGGCAGTCAGCTTCGCCTTCACATTGCACCCTGTCAGGATGAGCTCATTGCGGGTGGACAGGGAGTATGGTGTCTCTCTATTTGCCGTGAAGACTTTATCGAAACTGAAGTCCGCATCACGTTTGGTGGTGACACTAGTAAGGGCACCGGTGCCGATGACGCGCACCGTGGTGTTTTGAAGGGAGATTTCGACGACTCGAAAGGCGTCGTAGTCATCGAGTAGAAGCTGTAGGGACTCGCCGTTGATACTTGTGTAGTCGCAGGTGAGGTTGAAGCCTGGCCAGTAGCAGTAGGAAGCCCCAAAGCCGAACGGGTATGGGACCTGCACGTCTCCGCATGACCTATTGCAGCTACCTACAAGTGCAACAAGTGAAGAAGGTTGACTGAAACAAAGTACATACACAAATAATTATAGGTGTTTGGCTACAACTTGGCTTCAATTATCTTGAAGGTAAATCAGGCTCACCTGTGACGGGAGTGATGCATCCGCCAGTTGCGTTGTCACGATGCGTTCCTGATGGACAACCACAGTCGTACGATCCTTCCTTGTTGATACATGGACCAAGGCACCGACTGCCTGGCTCTTCACACTCGTTGATATCTACACCATGTTATATCGCCGACGAAGCAATACATGCAAATTAAGTATTATGTTCTCAAAACCAAAGAAACTGAACAACACTAAAGCTATACCAAGTATGTTTTTCTTTTTTGCCGGAGGATGCTGTACTAACTAGATACTCCCTCAGTTTTTATTACTTTGCATATTAGCTTTGTCTTAAGTCAAGTTTCCACATTTTTTACCAAGTTTATAGACTAATATACAGATTAAATAAAAAGAGGGAATACTCACTTACTATGTTTTTGATCGAACTTGGTTAGTCAAACTTTATAAAGTGTGACTAAGGAAAAAGCTAATATGGAGAATACCAACTTACTTACATGGAAAGTCTTGAGAACATTCTACTCTAAAACACATACATAGTACTCTACCACTGTTCCTACATATAAGATGTTTTTGCAGTTCAAATTAAACTGTAAAAACATCTTACATTTAGGAACTGAGGGTGTATATCATATATAGACTGTACGCATCAATGGAATATACACCCTTTATATAAAAATATAAGACGAAAATTCAGTTCGGCTCCCGAGAGCACGTGCTCCTGGGCAAAAAAACTATTTTTGGAATGTCAAAAGAATCAAGACAGAATTTTAATTTGTTGTTAGTCACATCCAAATGCTACATGCAAATTTTAAGGCCAAAAGGTTAAGCATTTTGGCCAGTGCAAAAAAATATATTACACCAGATGTTATCCCAAATTTGTTTTTCCCACCAACGAAACACTCCTGCTCCATTTCACATGAAAATTGTCAAGCATGCTTGCAACACTAACACTAACATTGACAAAAAATATCAGAATTTTTTGAAAACATTAACAAAATTGTTTTTGCGGTACTCTCACCCGGGAGCATGTGCTCTTGGGAGCCAAAATGCCCCTCCCAATATAAGATGTTTATTGACACTATGATAAAAAAGTCTTATACTTTCATAGAGAGGGAGTAGAACAAAATTAATGAGTTTGTGCAAATGCTAGTCTAAATAATATGCGGTCATACTAACTAGCCTCCTAAGAAGAGTGAGCGAATGACATGATATAGTATGCAACATAATGCATTGCAAGTGGAAAGCGAAGGAAAAACCTTGGCATCCGCGTGGGAGGTAGGGATTGCCTTCATAACCCTCGTCGCAGAAGCATGTATAGCCCCGTGCACCTTTGTTGCAGGATGCGTGGTTGCTTCGGCACACGGTTCGGGCAGCTTCGGCGGGGCACTCCGAGGAGCTTGTGTTGCTGTCAGGCTCCGCGCCATGGCTGGCGACCTCCCAGTCAAGCAACACGGGAACAGCCACCGACGGACGCGTTCCCTTCCATAGCAGATCGTAGGAGAAACGCGTCTGCTCGAACCACCCATTCATGGCGACGTACACGCGGGGCGGCCACCGTCGGTCGGCCGTGCCGTTCCACCCAAGCCACCGGAGCTCCACGCCGTAGGAGCCGCTGTGCGGGACCTTTCCCGCTCTCCGGTCCTGGTAGTTGGTGAGGACGGCCGACTGGCAGCAGGCTATGCCAGAGCACACCATGCTGGTGGGGTGCCTAGACAGCGGGAACCCGTTGAAGTCAGATCCGTCGACATCCTCGGTCTCACAGAACGAGGAGCAGCCGGCGACGGTGACGTGGCCGTTCTTTAGCGTCGCCTGCGCGTTGCAGCCCGTCAGGATGAGATCGTTGTTGAAGGCCAGCGAGTAGGGCCCGTCGTCCCTGAGGCCGCCGCCGAACGCGCAGGCGCCGTTCTCGTCGAGCCTTATGTCGCCTTGGCGCACGACGGTGATAGCGGACCCGAGGAGGATGTCCTCCACGACCTGGAGGCTGCCGTCGCCGAGGAGGAGCCGCGGCGGGCTGCTCCGGCGGTCGCAGGTGAGGTTGAACCCCGGCCAGTAGCACCTTTCCGGGCCCACCCCAAACGGGCACGGCACGCTCACGTTGCCGCAGCTGGTCGCGCAGCCCGGCATCCCGATCCCCCGCGGTGCTGCTGCGGCTCCGACGATGAATGAGAGCGGCGGCGGCAGCAGCAGCAGCAGCAAAAGCGCCGCCGCTGCCTCCGAGATCGAGATGGTTGCTCTAGTGTGCGCCATTGATAGATGGATGGAGCTCAATTTGTTGCCCTGCCAAGCGCTGCTGTTGCACTGATCGGTCAACTACTGTACTGAGGTGTGAGGATAGGCGCCGGCGGCCGTCGGTGTTCATATCTCACCTACCGCTAGCTAGCGATGCTACACTACTAATTAATCCGTCCGATGGAGATTTACATCGACAATGTAGTTTATTAGCAAGAAGCCAGTGATTGCATGTGGAGCTCACTCACTCCTACTGCAACGGCTCCATCGGTCAGATTACCAGTGGGCAGGGGGAGATCGATCGATGTCGGCACAAAATCTGACCGACAAGGTGGTCGATTAATGCATGTCCTGACACCTTCTAATTACTCTCTCTTGGTTCCATAATGTAGTGCAAATAGATTTGCTAAAAAGTCAATCATCAGAAATTTTGATCAAATTTGTGAAGAAAAACATTTACATCAAAAGTGCCTAACTTATATCCTTAGATTCACTATAAGATGAACTTTCATACTTTATATATTTTGTATTGTAGATATAAATAGTTATCTCTAAAACTTGATCTAAGTTTTCAAAATCTGACATAAAGAAAAATTGTACGTACTATATTATGCAACGGAGAGCGTTGTAATTACTTGCCCTTTTATAGGCCACATGCATGTTGTTCCTCATCAAGCATTACCCAAGCATAAGCAAAAGCCAGCACACAATGCTGCTGCGGCTCCGACGATGAATGAGAGCAACGTCGGCGGCAGCAGCAAAAGCGCCGCCGTCGCGGAGATCGAAATGGTGGCTGTCGTGTGCACCATTGCTAGATGGACGGAACTCAATGTGCAGCCCTGCCTGACTGATGTACGGAGTATAGGCTCAGGCGGCCGTCGGAGATCTCACCTACCGCGCGTTAGCTACCGAGCAGAGTACCGCTACGCTACTAATTAATCCTTTCGAAGCCAGGATTGCATGTGGGAGATCGATGTATGCACATGATCTGACCAAAAACATGGTCAACTTTTCGGGACGGGGCACATGCATGTACCTTATCGAGCATTACTCTTTCCTTTCCGCCGGGCGTGCTCAACTGGGTATATCTGCAAATTGACTCTAGCTGGGATTTAGGAGTAGAATCAAAATGGATGCAAATGGCTAAGCAAAGAATTAGCGTGCGTGCGTGCTAACGTACGGTGGGGATTATTAACACGGGAGTGTGGTGCATATAGTACTGGAGCAACTTTGAAACACAATGAAATATCCCAGCGGCATCTCTAGCCGGTCACATATTATCCTAAATCGAACAATTCTACTCTCTATCTCACTTTACAAATTTTTGTAGGGAAATCACTGTTCTGCAGCTAACCGACCCCCTATAACTTAATCTCTTGGAACTGACATCTGTTCACTCAATTCATGGAGCACCTAGGCTGCGCCGGCGAGGAAGGCCACAAGGCGCAGCGCGTGTTGTTCTCGACGTGCAGCTGCGAGCAGAATGGCGAGCACATGAAACAACTCCAGGATGAGAGAGTCGCGGCGTGTTGGTAGCGGGGAAGAGCTTGCGATGCAGGACAGATGGAGGTATCACTCCCACGTGCCCAAGTTATTTTGTTGGCTGGTCATAGTGGGGAGTAACTTAGACTAGTAACATACTCCCTCTGGTCCTTTTTACTCTGCACATTGGATTTGCCGAAAGTCAAACTTAGCTAAGTTTGACCAAATTTATATTAGAAATTATTAACATCTATAATATCTAATAAATATAATATGAAAATATATTCCGAGATGAATCTAATGATGTTGGTGTTGTTATGTAAATGTCAATAATTTTTTATATAAACTTGGTCAAAGTTGGATGAGATTGACTTCAGACAAACCTAATATGCAGAGTAAAAAGGACCGGAGGGAGTACATATGTTACTAGTCCATGTTACTACCTTGTGATTGTTGTGTCAATGAGCGAACATGAGCTCACCTGAGCATGTAGCAAGCGGGCTAATTATTTCACCGTTACGAAACCCACAACTGTTTTTTTGGAGGAACCCACAACTACTTATCTCCTTTTGTCTTGCAAATGCCCTTTCACCGCTAGCTCATCTCTCATGGACAACAACATCAGTACTGAACTATATAACAAAACAAAGCTGGTGATCTTGCAAATGAAGTCTTTGATTTGAGCAGAAATTCGCAAAGGTACTATTGGATAACTAGATATACATCAAAACAATTTTGTTGAGTCAACATAAGAAATTTTTTCCTTGAGCACAATTTCACTAAGTTGGAAACTTGGAATAATTATGTCCCTTGTAAACCAGACTGCCGAGGATAACTTGCAGATAGTATGAACTCTTCTTCCATACTATACCGTCTTGTCGAGCCCTCATTAACTTTTCTAACTAACTTATTAGATTGAACACCTACTTCGATACCATTCTTGTAAACTTTTTTAGCCACTACCTTATCTAAAATATGCTCCTCGGATGCACATATGCCTTCAAGCATCAACTCCACTTGCCTCATGGTTGGACGGTCCTCTCCACTTAATTTCACACATGCTGTTGCAATAGCAGCCACTTCTTGGACTTCTTTGCCCCCTTCCTCAATAACTTGTGGATCTAATATCTGGAGCAAATTCCCTTCTAGAAACAAGGTAACAAAATGTACAACAAGACCCTCATCATCTGAGGACGAATATGAAAATGGCTTCTTCCTGGTTAGCAGTTCCACAAGGACAACCCCAGAACTGTAAACATCACTTTTCGCCGTGAGCCGCCCAGTGTAAAAGTACATAGGGTCCCAGTATCCTCGTGTACCTTGAGCTCTTGTTGTTAACCCAGATTTCTCCATCGGAATGTACCTTGAAGCTCCAAAGTCAGCTACCTTTACTGTGAGAGTATCATCCAAAAGTATGTTAGCGGACTTGACATCTCTGTGGATGATAGGTACTGCCACAGTTGTGTGAAGATAGGCGAGCGACTTGGCTGTTTCAGTGGCTATGCGCAGCCTGTTGTTCCACGACAATGATATTGGTCCTTCAACATGAAGATAATCATAAAGAGTCCCGTTGGATATGAACTCATATACCAACATCGGGACTTCAGTTTCAAGGCAGAAACCATAGAGTTTTAGGACATTTTTGTGGTTGATTTGTGATAGGATGGCAACCTCATTTATAAACTCATCAATCTCCCTTGAAAGAACCTTCTTTGGTTTCTTGATGGCCACAATATGTTGGTTCGATAAAATCCCTTTGTAAACAGTACCATGCCCTCCACCGCCAACCACAAGATCTTTATCAAAATTGCGTGTTGCCTTGTTTAGCTCTTCCAAGGTTATGATCATTTGTTCTGCAATACCAGTTCTTTGAGATACCAACTGTTCCAGCAATTGTCCATGATTTTGCTCAATGAACTTCTGTTTTAACATCAGCGTTCTCCTATGTTTCAATTTCTTGGAAACAAACAGTGAAGTGAGAACCCAAATCATGAGACCCGCCCCGCAAGAAAGTCCTACAATCACACTTATATTTGGAAAAAAACATAGATCTTTAATCTGTCTATTGATATGCAAAATAAAGAAATTATTATTGTGACTATTCCATATCTATGGTGTGTCTAGACATGCTAACCAAACAACACATACATAAAAAAAAATCATGTTGTCGTAATAATGAGAAGAACCAAATTAAGTTGAGTAAGAATTAAATAGCAATACAGAGGTGACTCGTAAATACTAGTATTCATCATCGTCTTAAGTTGGTCGCCTTTAAGTGTCACGGGGCCACCTGTAGCATAAAGGAAAAAAAGAGCCAAATTCAGTTAACTACATAATGGATAAAGTATATTAACGTTTTCATTTAAGTGGCCATGTACATGTACGTTGCTAACCTTTGCATCCATTCATGACACCGGCAAGTATAACCTCCGTTTCCTGGTTTGCAGTGGCTGTGTTTGCTCTTGCAAATATTGGCGGCTACCTCCATAGGACAATTTTGAAGTGACTTCATCTTGGCGTTGGGTAAGCCTGATGATTGCAACACCTCCCACTGAAGAATAATAGGAACATTAGGCTAAAATTTGACTTGCTTTGAGACGCTTGCATTTGCTGTTTGGAGATGAGGCGATTGTCAAACCATCCCTCCTCTGCGATTAGCACATATGGTGGCCGCGAGATGTTATCCTGGACACTATTGATGTCGAAAAATTTGAAGTTCATCGTATCAGGCATGCCATCAGTTGACGTAGATATACATGCCCTGCAACAACCCACACCATAACAACTATAGTCGTCGCTGTCATGGCTTGCAATTGGCACCCTCCTGGCTTTGATGTCCGAGTTGGAGCAAAAAGTGGCTCAAACGCTGATGATGTTTGGGTCGTCACCAGGCCCTAGCAGTGTTGCTTGGACATTGCATCCTGACAGGATGAGCTCGTTGCGGTTGGACAGAGAGAAGAGTGCATCCCCTTGATCAGTCAGGGTCATCCACACAAGGGGATGCACTCTTCAGTACAGCCCTCCTGGAGACATTATCGAAGCTAAAACGTTATCTCCTGAAGAGTCTCCACACAAGTCTCCAGGAGGGCTCAATCGTGGAACCGGCAAACAGGGCTTTGTAGCACGATTTGGCGGAGTACGCGCCGTTCGACACCCAGCGCCAGGTGAGGGTGTCCGGGGCGTCGGAAAGGGTGGTCTGCTGGATCCGCGTCCAAAGGTGAACGTACTGCACAAGTGTCGCGGGGGCCAGGTGGCCCTGCACGCCTGCGGCCGCAGTGCGCGCCTTGCGGTGGTTTTCCGCGGCTTTTCTTTGGTTGGTACGACGGTGTCGGTGCGTGCACGTTGTGAGCATGTGTACCATATTTCTCAAAAGGAAGAAAATATCACTAAACAAATTTGGGGTATAAATTTAATCCAAATAAAACTGCATGTGGGTCTAATTAATTAATGTGCAAATTCAGAAGTAAAATGTGGGAAGAAAAATTTGAACCTTGGCATCCGTCGGGGATGTAGGGATTGCCTTCGTAGCCCTCTTTGCAGTAGCACCTATAGCCTCCTCGTACACCACCACCATTACAGATGAGCAATGCTACTTCTACGTGCATATTGTTACCTATCTTACGATAAAAGATGATTTGGCAGCAGCTAATTGGATATTAGTGAAGCCGCCGG